AACTTGAAAGAAGGTGACGCCCAAACAATCGGAATATCCTACGGGATGCTTAGGCTAGAAAAACAATGCATGTAGTTGATGGAGATTCCATGCGGCCTACGATTGAAGATTGTGTGTGTATGAAAAGCGGAGTCAAATTAGGGAAGAGTCCAAATTTGGGAAGATTGAAATTCGAATTGTGATAAGATAAGTTTGTTTATTGTAGGGGAAGTTTTCCAATGGATTAGGACTTCTTGTACAAGTTAGATTCGTGACTCTAGGCTGCCTACCTCGGGTATACTTAGAGAGGGGTTGAGACCTTTTGGTATTAATTTTGTGGGAGTTAAGTTTAGAGAAAAGTTAGGATTTCGAGTTTAGTCGAATTTTGTAAGAGGAGTGTTATTGTTACACTTTGTAAACACGAATAAAAGTAGTAAAGTTCAATCTACTTTCAAGATATTTTCGATTTGTGTTTTCTTGGGTGCGATGGTCACATCAGCGGGATACCACCATACCGGTGGTCAGACCGGCGGTACCACGATGGTTGGACCGGATGCAATGACAAGTGACGATGACATGAAGGGTGGTCGGAACAGCTAATCTTCTTCGGTCAGACCGGCGACATCTATGTGATCAAACCAATGATCAGGCAACGGTCAAACGGATCTTCATCGAATCTTGAGGGTAACTTTTAATTCCGTTAAGAGTTTTAGGTTTTTTGTGTTACTATCATTTGCCCCTTCCCCCTCTGGTACGTTTAGTTATTGTTTTTCAATCCTACCCATTCAATCCCCGACCCTTGCGATCGGTGGAGGGGGATGGTCATTTGAAGTAGCAAATCCGATTTCCTAACATCAAGTTACATGGAAAAAAAGAGAAATTTATGTTGTACGGAGCGGATAATAGCTGAATGATTTTGTGATCACCATTCCAAGGTATAGTGAAATTAATTAAGTATTATCAAGTTAAAAATGAATTTAAAACAGTTTTTTTTAAAAAGAAATTCATATATAGAAAGTTTTTATGGAAATCGTGCCAGGCATGTACAATGGTTGTCAATAGTGATCTCTTAGCGTTGCTAAGTAGGAATACTTGTTGACATGGAGGAAAGAGAAAGAGGAGAGACAAAACATCGTTGTTATGTATGACAACGGCTTAACAACGACTCTTAGTCACTATAATATGGAAAAATGGTTGCATGAGGATAAACATATGGAAAGAATATTAACAAAAGGAATATTTTTTCAGTTAATGATTAGAGCCTTTGTCGTCTCAACTATTGTAAAGACATGGTCTCTAAATAATCTTGTATTGTTTAAAAGACCATACCCGTCTCTACCATTGAACATGCCCAAAAGCTCAGAAAGCGTGTCTCATTCATCCATCCTAATGGAAAGAACATTCCCCGTAAATTAAAGTCCAGACATTCCGTTCATGCACGACTGCACGAGAATTTCTACCAAGTTTGTCTCTCTCTTTTTTTTCTTTTGGAAGCTGTAGCTAGTAAATTAACCACTTGGCAATTTTTTGGTCAAGAACGCACTTGCTGACATGCACAATACGCACTGTCAATTTCTCACTGCAGCGGGTTGGATGGATGCTGTCGGCTACTCTATCGATTTGGCAAATCAGGAAGAGTGAATGACGAGTGGAGTAAACTGTAAAAGCCAATCTGAGCTCAATAATCTTCCCTTTCCGGCATATGCATGCACCTGCATTTTCCTCTCCATCCAAGAGAGAACAAGTGCTCCACCCCTCACTGATTCGTGTAGTGAATGCCACAAAAGAGCTAAAATTAAGCTAATCTAGCTACCCAACCAGCTTCGAACATGTTTAAGAAACTTAAGATTCTGAGAAGCAGATTCTGAGAAGCAGCTGATTGATAGTCGGTTTTAAGAATTTGAAAAAGGTGGGTTCTTCAGTTTATAAACTGACTTCTAGTTCATTTTTTTTATTCTACAACTATAGTTTCTTAGAGTATGGATCAAAAACTAAACTGTTTAGATAAGCTTCTTATTCTAAGAGAAACTGTAGCAGTCAGAAGCTCCCTAAACATACTTTCTTCATTGGCGTAACGGCAAACAAGCTGCACACGGCGCCAATGACGGTGAATCGATCCCTTCTTCTTTTTTCTTTTTTTTTTGGCAGCGACCCGCGTGAATTCTCAGGCAGGCACACGGTAACTCGAGGTATTTGTCCTCCTCATATTGGCTATCACCTCAAAAGTGTTCATAGGTTCAGGTTTCAGGCTGCTCGCCCAAGAAACGAATCGTGTGTCAACATGATCTTTGATTCTTCTCTTTCTCTTCTTTTAGATCACCAAAGCATATGATTTTGCAGGCCATATGTAAAAAAGCGTACATAAAGCACGGATTATAGTGCCTTAGTGGGACAAAATTGGTGCTAGGCTCTGTTTAAGTGAGAGGGAGACTCTACCGGTGAGATTCGGAAAAATCTGGTAATTTCGATATTTTTTTTGTACTATGAGGATTTTGACTTCTAATTCACTTTTTTGATTCTATAGTTTCTGATACAACCTAAATGAAAAAATGAATTGTTTTGGAAGCTAGTTGAAGAAACTATGGCCGCCAGAAATTCCCTCAAATATAGAGGTAATTTTACCATACTTAGAAGGTATCAAGAGATAACATATTTTCTAATCTAAAATTTGATACCTTTAGATATTAAGTATTTTAAGGTATTGAATATTTTAATGTAAAATTTAGGTATCTTAAGATATTTTTTTATGGATTATAAAAAATTTCTCCAAACATAGCCTTAGCCGGGCTAAGTGCTATAGGCTATAGCTGCTTGCTTAATTCTTCGGTTGTAATTTTCTAGTACTATGCAATGATGATCGATTTGTTTTGGGCCAAATTCTGAGCATATTCTTTTTGATAGTGCTGTTATTAGCAGCTAAACCAATAGGTTATGCACTTATACTGGGCTCAAGGGCAAAAGGCCTTGCCAAAGGCACAAATCTGGCCGTCACTTTACGCACTTGGATGATTCTTCTCCTGTAATCCGACCTTATCAATAGCATCTGCGATTAATCAGCCATTGAATGATTAATGGTACGAAAAAATGAGGTTTAATTCGTTTGACTCGAGCAGACAAGGACGCATGCGGCTGCCTCTGCTAGCTGCTGTTCTCTGCTCAGACTTTCAGAGATTCAGCTCAGTTTCAGCCATTCGTCTCGCGATGTTCTGGCGATCGTTTCGTGGCCATGAGCTAATCCTACCAGTACTAGCAATTCACTGTTCAGCAACAATCGATGCATTGAATTGTTTCTACATCAGTAGAGTACAGAGTTTCTTTCACTAGTGGTGTAAATGTGTGTGATCACATCGATTGGATGAGTTCAGAGTTCCACATATCATACTAGATCATGACATTGTGATACCGTGGTAGCATTAATACCACTAGTTGTCATGCTCCTACACAATAATTTTGTATGGAATGCTGCTCATCAACAAATCAGGTAAGACTTAACAAGGTTATTAGCACCGACCTGAACATGTGTGGAAGAATGCAATAGAGATGATTTGACCTGACCAAATTGATCAAGCCACATGTTCAGTTAAGCAGGAGCTAGTATAGCATGAATTGATTGGTGCATATATATGCATGCAGTCTTGTAACTAAGCCAAGCTTGATAAAGATGGGACAATCATAGCAGGATCAAAGTGGAGAGGAGACTGATCAGCTCTCATGGCAGGTGGTAGTAGTATGATATGAGTAGGACACAACATCACTAGCCAAAATGGTACTACTCAGATATCCACACTGTAGTAGTGGTGGGAGAGAGATATTGGAGCTAGATAGCCCCATTCCTCTTTTGCCATGAGTTGGAGTTGAAAGTTCACTCTGAAAAAACAGATTTTCAAAATCTTCAGTACTTTGGCTGCCCTCCTGTTTGTGCTTATTCTCATTCGCGCGCTTTTCGGTCCCAGAAATTCTACGATAATTTTTCGTTAGTCTTATACGTTATAGCCCGATTTTTTTTACGGTAAAAAGTATAAAATCATGTGTTTCGAAGGAGACTTGGTCTGTGTAACATGCTGTGTATATGGTAGCATGTTTTGCCACTCGGTAGCTCTGACCATTTGCTGGCACACATGACAAGCATGCAATTTTTATACCAGTTCTAATGTTTGGTATATTCGGATTTACCGGAGTCATATGTACTCGGTTGTTGGTGCATGAGTCCTGTGTGTGTATCGAACTCTGCGTGAGATCATCTCTTGTATTGTTTCGATCAGATCGCACATGCATCCCAATATTTTTTGGAGAATGACGATTAATCAAAGCCTAATGATTCATGTTGTCCTAGCTTCATACAAATCGATACTACATTTAAAAAAACAGTATTATTATTGATAAGTCAATAACGGCTGGCAGCATTGCATAGATATGGTAAACAATGTGGGTATCACATCATTTAATGGTTTTTTCATGGCAAATCAGAAGTCAAAAGTCAAAGAGATATTTTGGTTGGATATAAAATTCATGCTAAAAATCTGTTCAGCATTTGGACCCATAAATTGATTCTTTTTTTCAGGAATTTTTGTGCTGAAACTGAATGTGCAAACCCCACTACTGCATTTGAGGGACAACATCATGTACTACTGGTGCTCACATTGCAAAACCCAAAAATACACCCTCAAAGTCATACAAAAATTACAAAAAAAAAATACATTTACAATATCATCTTCACAATATATATCATCCAAATTGAAAGATTTAAACCCAAATAAAGAAGAGCACACTTTGTCAGAAATGTACCACACCAATGAGTGCATGCATGGTTTCTCTCTCCCCCTCTTCTTTTTTCCTCTCCTGAGCTAGCTATTGGGCAGCCTCTCCATGACAGTTTGTCCTCTTTAACTCATATAAAATACTTAATTATTAGTACTAGTTACTTCACAAACTTACAAAATTACAGCTACTGCTTCTTCTGATTAAGCTGATGCGATCCCCAAGCCTTTTTAGTACTTCGCGTTGCATTATTCGGGCGGAGCAGTTGGGAGATACCTCGCTAGCAGTGGACGCCATTGACCTCGATCCATCGCCTCATGTGCGCACACTACGCCTATATACAGTCGCACCACACACAGCTACCTCCACCACCCAACCCCCCAAACACCTAGCTCACTGCATCTTCTTCCTCCTCCTCCTGATCAAATTAATCATCGTCTCCTCCATTGCATTCTTGCATCCATCCATCTAGCTAGTTAGTGTTGTTCTTGTTCGTGTTCTTGTTCTTGATGTGCATTGATCTTTCTTCTCTATTGATCTAATTGTTCTTAGATTGAGAGTGAAGTTGTGAGAGAGCTGGACACCATTTCTCTCATCAATATCCCTTAGCCAAACCTTGAGAAAAGCCTGTGAAGCATGTAAGAACACACCAGTTTGTTCCATCCAAACCCAACCCAAAAAAGCACCAAAAAAAAGGTCATCAGTTCCAAGTCCCAAAAGCATTGTTCTTTCATAACTAGGCATCTCGGTTAATTAGGGTGGATATTCCTCCACTAATCCCTTAGCGAAAAATCTACAAAAACCACTAGATCATGTAATTTTCGGCGAAATCATTCCACCCCCAGCTGAAGAAAAAAAAACAAAAAAAATATAGGCCAAGAGAATCATATTCCAGCATGCATCGTTAGCTAGTAGCCATCATCTCAGTCGCAGTCCGGTAGTAATACTGGACACAATCCTCCCATTGCTGTAGCATTTACCTCTGCAAAAGCCATCAAATCATGTAATTAGTAGCTAAAAACCCATCCTATTTCTACCTCATCATTCGCCTGAAAAGAGAAAAAAACAAGAACAAAAAAAAAAAGAAGTTGCAAGAAGAGGAGAGCAAGAAAGAGTTGATATATTAATGGAGATGGCGGCGCCGAACGGGGGCGGCGCGGCGGGGATGTCGTCGCCGGTGAACGGGGCGTCGGCGCCGGCGACGCCGGGGACGCCGGCGCCGCTGTTCGCGGGGCCGCGGGTGGACTCGCTGTCGTACGAGCGCAAGTCGATGCCGCGGTGCAAGTGCCTGCCGGCGGCGGTGGCGGAGGCGTGGGCGCCGTCGGCGCACGGCTGCGTCGTGGAGATCCCGGCGCCGGACGTCTCGCTCACCCGCAAGGTACGCGCCCCCATGCACATGACGCCCCCACGTGGACACCCACCGCTTCTTTCAATTCCCTCCTCTCACTTTGGGTGTTCTTAGTTCACGTCAAAATAATGTGATGGAAACATTGAAAGTTTATATGTGTAGAAATGTTTTGATATGATGAAAAAGTTAGAAGTTTAAAGAAAAATTTTGGAGCTAAACTCGGTCTTCGTCTCAAAATAAATTTAGGCACCTTTCTTTCTTCTGTTGCTTCGGTTCGTTTTAAAATAAATCAACTTTAAGCAAGAAGTACTCTGTAAAATAAAAAGAAAAAACTAGTATCAGGTTTACAGGTAGGATTGATTTTTTTTTCTTTTTATGGAGGGGATATACATGCAATTATTTGAGTTCCATCCATTTTTTTTTACCTTTTTTAAAGAAAATGTTTGGACACTCTTAGCTAGCTCTCTTCTCCCACTCAGCTATGTGATTTGATTATTCAGTGGATTATTGCTGAGGACTATTGGTTTGATTTGTAGGTATGAATAAAATATTTTTGAAAATAAATTTAATAAATAGCTCCAAACAAGAGATATAAGCAATATAATGAAAAAAAGTTTTTCAACATGACTAAAAAAATCGTATTTTTTGAGCGTCGAGCAAATAATCTATCAATAATTGGGTAAATTAATAAGCTGGATATAACATGACTAACCCTTCATCTTTTAACCTTTTTTTGTATGTTTTTAAAATGGTTTTTTGGGGTGTTTTTGTACTATGGAGTTGAACGTGCTGGTACTTTTTGGTGTACTTTTACTCTGCTTCTGAAATTGTGCGCGAGATGTCGTAGACGTAGTCGTACGTACACAACCAGCACGGTATAATGTCAGAGACATGTACTGATGTACAAACATGCATCCGGTACAAAAATACTCTCTGGCATCCATCTGCTTCAGAAAAATAAAAATAAAAAGTCAGAGGAACTGATCGATCGTCCTATTCCTAGCAGGAATTTTTTTTTTCAGTGCAATAAATCTGGATTTTTTTTTTACGAGACAAAGAGAGTATACACAACAGACAATGAAACACATGATTTTTGTTTGTCACGAAGCTTCAGAAATAAAAAAGTCAGAGGAACTGATCGATCGTCCTATTGCTAGTTGCTGAATAGTACTAGTATTTTTTTCCGTAATATACACGGTATATTATACGGCCAAGTTGGGTATGATCCAATGTCCTTTTGGTTAGTTTTAAATTACTAGGTGCCATTTCTAAATAAGTGACGATTAATTAGTCTCTAAGAGGAAAAAAATTCCGTATATTCCCCCTAAATATTGAACAGTTTCTCCCCTTATATTTCTCTTCTTAGAAAGAAATCAAAAATAAAAATGGAGGGTTGATATATAGAGTACCAACATGCTCTTCTATTTGGCCAAAGTGCTCATTCAGAAAACCATATATCATGCAAAATCATTTTTTAAAAAGAGCAATTCTACGGTCCTTGAGGTACCAAAATTTTAGTGTAAAATTTAATAACTCATGGTACCTCATAGTACCTAGTTACCAAGAGGTACCAAATTTACAATAGAAAAAATAATAACTCATGGTACCTCTTTAAGGACCGTAAAATTGCTAAAAAAAGTTATATAACGGTGGTATAAAGTTTGGATGTTACATGGGGTACATGTACTTTTTGAAATGAAATGTGTTAACAGTGACGTATGGAGACAAAAGAGCAACATCACACTGACGCGGTTTCAGTAGGTGATTAATTAAGGAAGTGACAGTGGTTAGATCTGTACTTACACAGTGCTAACACACTGGAATCAGGGGTGCCGTCAGCAGAGCTTTGTTGGATCCGAACCTGCAGACTCAAAATTTTACACAGGTCCACTCTGGCAATGGTCCTCCGTGAGAAATTTTAAAATATTCTGACGATTCAAGCAACCGCATTGTATTCAGTGTGTTTCAAACAAACCTTTAAAAGTTTCAAAATTCAGTTCGAACGTTGAAATCAAACTCATGTGTGGTGTGTGAAGATATTGCCGTCATCAAACTTACGGAGTCATCAATTGGCTTTTGCTTATGCATATTCGTAGTTTTTATTAGCAAACAAATAAAAATTTGGGAGTAAAAATTTTAACATGTTCTTAGTATTTAAAAGCTAGTGTTGTAAAATGAATTACGAATTTCAAAATTAAGTTTTAGAATTTAAATTTTAGCTTATAAGTATAAGCATAAGTGAAGAAAACCAATAATGATGTTATAACGAAGTTAAACCAAATTACAATGAAATACATACCAAATTACCGTGGAACTCTTATCTTCAAAACAATCCCTTAGGACATCACCAATGTATATGGCAAAAGTGGTCTATATAGATGGGACCCATATAATAAACTTTAACTATAGCAATCCTCACAATGTATATAGATACAATGTAATATTAGGAGAAGACAGAGAAGTAGAGATAGATAATATTATTTATGTTACTAGATGGCTGAATGGAATAGTTTATTTCCTATAGACTACTTTTTGTAGTACATTGTGGATGTCCTTAATCGAAGGTCCATGTACTCCATTTAACTAATACTATTTATCTTGCCGTCTACAAAGAAAACACGCAATGCTCATCTTTGGAAGCTGAATTTTATATTGTCAATGATCACTGATGGGATCAAACAGTACAGTACTACCTAAGGCGATTAGGTCCTAGCTAGCCTACATCATGTTTGATTAATTTTGTGAGTATAAAACCTGCAAAGATGCTGAATTTTCTTGGCCTTGCTCGGCGTCAGTCGGCGGCGGCGCGCGTAATCCGGCGGTTTGTCTGTCAAGTCCGCGTTTACTGTTCACGCCATCCCTGTGTGTCCCATAACCCATCGCAATTTCAGAAATCCAGAACTGATGATTCGATTAAAAATTTGGTCATGTTGTACTCCATTTGGAGTACTTACCATTTGGAAAAAGAAAATTAAATACTACTCCTATCAATGGCACTGTTGAAGTCGATGACAAAAATGCATTTTTTAAAATAAAAAAACGTGCGAGCGAGAAAGTACAATGATTTTTGGTGATAAGGTTTTTTTTGGATGTGACATGAGAGGGCCGTGTCCAAAATTCAGAGTTGACTCAACGATCGCTTCGAGCCATCCATCCGTGAGGAGAGAGTGGTTGCTTTGCTATGTGCCTGTCATGTCTAATCTGTCCCTGGTTTTCGTTTCTTTTTCTGGGAGGGTAATCAGTTCATGATTTGACATAATCGCCGCAGAATTATTGGTTCATGATTATTTGCGAAAAGCGCATGGTTTTAGTGTAAAATTTCAACGGGACATTGCTGTGTGATTCTTTTGGACTAAAAGCGGGTAATTTTGTTATCATGCACAGAAACAAAACTTTATAAACATATATGTCGTTTCAGCTTTTGATTAGTGCCTGATGATCCCACATTCCTACTGTTCTTTTTGTCACGACCAAAATCTCGCTAAATTCAGAAGTACGCAATCACAAACTTTTGTGTCTGATTACACCTTTTTGCAGTTTAGCATTGCCACATAATCAATCAGACGCACTTGAAAGTATCCATAGACTTTTGGATGGACTTTTGAAAGTACTTCTGAAACTGAAATGTCCAGCTCAATTTGCTTGATTGATCAATCAAACAGTAAATTAATCATCAAAGAGAGAGTGTCTTAAATTGATTGCAAATTTACACGATTCATATACAGTTACAGTTATGGTGTGTTTAGTTTTTAGGTGTAAAATTTTTGAAGTATACGGACACACATTTGAAGTATTAAACTTAGATTAATTACATATTCCGCTTGTAAACTGCGAGACGAATTTATTAAGCCTAATTAATTCATTATTAGCAAATGTTTACTGTAGCATCACATAGTCAAATCATGGCGTAATTAAGTTTAAAAGATTCGTCTCATAATACATACAAACTATGCAATTGGTTTTTTTCCCATATTTAATGCTCCATGTATGTGTCTAAATATTTGATGTGATGTTTTTGGCCAAAATTTTTTTAGATCTAAACAAGTTTTTAACTCTATTATGAATTCACTTTTTTTTTAAAAGAGAGCTCCGTTATGAATTCATGAACTCGTAAATTATAGTAATCTGTATGAGTGTGTTAATTAAGCTGGGAGATTAACGCTGAACAAATAATTAAACTGCGGTGCAGCTTGGAGCGGAGTTCGTGGGGACGTTCATCCTCATCTTCTTCGCGACGGCGGCGCCGATCGTGAACCAGAAGTACGGCGGCGCGATCTCGCCGTTCGGGAACGCGGCGTGCGCGGGGCTCGCCGTGACGACCATCATCCTGTCGACGGGGCACATCTCCGGCGCCCACCTCAACCCGTCGCTCACCATCGCCTTCGCCGCGCTCCGCCACTTCCCGTGGCTGCAGGTCCCGGCGTACGTCGCCGTCCAGGTGCTCGGCTCCATCTGCGCCGGCTTCGCCCTCAAGGGCGTCTTCCACCCCTTCCTCTCCGGCGGCGTCACCGTCCCCGACCCCACCATCTCCACCGCCCAGGCCTTCTTCACCGAGTTCATCATCACCTTCAACCTCCTCTTCGTCGTCACCGCCGTCGCCACCGACACCCGCGCCGTCGGCGAGCTCGCCGGCATCGCCGTCGGCGCCGCCGTCACCCTCAACATCCTCATCGCCGGGTACGTATAATCCTCTTCCTCCTCCTTGTAGCCAGGTTTTAATCTTTCAGTTTGAATGTTTCTATCGGAACGTGTCGATATACCGAAATTTGGATCAAATTTTAGTCAAATTAAGCAAATTATTACCAAAATAAAAAAAATTGGCCGAAATAATCACATAGGGGATCCAAAATAACCAAAATTTTGGAAATTTCATTTCAGAATTTTTGAACCCTGCTCGTAGCACGTTACTGCCTCTGTGTTATATTGCAAGTTTATTAAATTTATATAAGAATATAGTAACATTTCTAACATAAATAAACATATTAAAAGTTAGTTTTATTAAAAACTATTTTCTATAAATTTGGAAAAGGAAATTTTGAAAAAAAAATAAAACGACCTATAATATGAAACAATGAGCACTAAAAATGGATGGATTTCCAAAAAAAAAAGAAAATTTGAACCATGCCACACAAATTTTATAAATTTTGTAAAATTTGTGATATGACACCCTGACCCACATGACATTAACTTATGTGGTTCCTACGTGTCATTGAGATACGGGTGGCATATTTTAAATTTTACAAAATTAGGGTGTCATGGTTCCAACAAACAAAAAAAAAATGGATGGATTTGATCTCCGGCTAACCGGCGGCGTGGGTGCGGTGCAGGCCGACGACAGGAGGGTCGATGAACCCGGTGAGGACGCTGGGGCCGGCGGTGGCGGCGGGCAACTACCGGCAGCTGTGGATATACCTGATCGCGCCGACGCTGGGCGCGGTCGCCGGCGCCGGCGTGTACACGGCGGTGAAGCTCCGCGACGAGAACGGCGAGACCCCGCGCCCCCAGCGCAGCTTCCGCCGCTGATCCAAATCATATCCAAATCCATATCCATAAAAACAAATTATTATACACGACGTAGTTAACCTGAACAAATTATATGGCTTCCAATTAAAAAAAAATCAGTCGTGTCATCCTTGGGCCTTGTTCCACATGGGCCGAACACCAAGAGAAATCCGCGTGAATATGGGCCGTGATTTTGGTTGAAAATTTTCGGTCCATTCACGTAGATGGGCCGGGTTTGAGGCCTTTTCAAATGAGACCTTGGGGGCGTGTAATAAACCCCGTTTTGCTTCGTCCAGAACGGCAGAGTATAATAGTTCGAGTTGTGTGTGATGTGTCAGAACTCAGAATAAAAATGCACGCCGATGCACCGGGGTGATGGGCATCTTGCTGTGCGAATGGTGTAAGGTTTTATTTAATTTCCTATTTGACAAATTGTGTAATTTTCCCTGTTCCGACATTGATAATTGAGAAAAATTGTCCCAAAAACTGCGTAGCCAACTGTCAGTGAGACGTTAACAAAATGATGATGGGATCTCTGCAATGTATACTGAGCAAAATTGTGCTTAGACTATGTGTGATGAAAATATGTCCCCTCTGCTGTAAATCCATGCAAGATTTGTGCCAGTATATACCACTCAAAACGATCTTAGTAATCTGAATTTTCGGGATTTCTCCTCTCTCTTTTTTTAATTATTCCTCTAGATGTCATGCTTGGATTGGAATTTCAGTACGGCGCTTTATTTACCATACCCAAGTGGTTTTGTTCACATTTTTCCATTACGTTTCGGTAAGTGAAATAGCTAAAACAGGTGATAATATGGGGGTCGGCCCCCTGACTCCCCTGCCCAACAACATCGACAAATTAGTAATCCAATTTAGATGGGTCGTATTAGTAATCTAAATTTCTGAACTTTTTCATATATGTACAACCACATAAATTTGTGTTGGTTTCGAATTTCAATGCAGTGTTTTCATAGTGAAACAGCCAAACATGTGAAAATATGGGGGTCGGAGTCCAATTCTCCAAACCCCACAAACTCTCCTGCTCAACAACACCAACAAATTAGTAATCCAATTTGGATGGGTCGTATTAGTAATCTGAATTTCTAAACTTTTTCGTATATGTTTTTTTTTTTTGAGAAAAGGCCCAAACAACATTAACGAATCCAAGTCCAATTTAGATGGGCTGTATTAGTAATATGAATTTATGAATCTTCTAGTTTATTTAAAACCACATAAAGTTGTGTTTGGCTTTGATTTCAATACGGTGTTTCCAAGGTTAATCAACCAAGCAAGTGAAAATACGAATTAATTTTGAAAGTATATTGTGTTTTTTCTTTTCTCAAAAATATTGATGTAGTTTTATCGACACAAATATACAGTTGGTATTGCGGTCCCGCGCGAGACTGCTCGGTGTCAGTCTTGCATGACCAACAAGCGAGACCAGCCAGCATGCTGTTCTTGGACGCTAATCAATGATTAATTAATCACTAATCATTTCATTTCCAACACTCTCGCAGGCTGATAATGCGAGACTGCTCGGTTTCGCACCCTCTCCGCGCAAGACCAACACCACGTGGTCTCGTGTCCTCACCGTGCGAGACCACCCACGTCGTCACTCCACCATCACTTTCAGCGATATCGAAGATATATTTGTGACAAAAAAACCGCATCAAGAATATTTCAGAGAGAAAAAAGAACGAAGAATATATTTTCAAATTTAATTCGTGAAAATACAGGGGCTCGGAGTCTAATTCAAAGTACTCAACGACCTCCCAAATTAGGAGTCCAAATCCATTTAAATGGGTCGTAATGGCTACCCGGCATCTCTGCCTGTGTATTCTGGGCTTTCCAGCACTGGTTTTGCGTTGTAGTGGGCCGTCCTTGCTGACAAATGGATGGTGACAAATCCAATGGAACTGATGAAATGCTTTACTCGTCGCTAATGAAATTCCATTCAACATCTACTCGAATAGGGAAAAGTCTATTTTACACCCTTGAACTCTTATGCGTGTCTAAAATACACCTCCGAACTACAAAACCGGGTATAATACACCCTCGAACTGTCAATACCGGACACTTAACCCCCCCCCCGGGCTGTTTTTACCGTGGTTTTTGCCACGTCAGCCCTCACCATGTCAACACACAAGGTAATATGGGCCAAGCCCATACTCTGTTCATTCTTCTCTCCCTCCCCTGTTCGTTCCTCTTCCTCACGTCCGCTAGCGGCAGCAGCGCGGAGCTGCTGCGAGGGCGGTGACGGCTGTGAGGACGGAGCTGCGGCGGCGGCTCCCCGTTCCACACGTGGCCACTACCAGCTCGCGACCGGCTACGGTGTTGAGTCTCCTCCGCGCGAGGGGCCAGTGCGGGTCCCTCCTCCACCCGCGCCGCCTTTGCTTCTCTATTGCGCCAGTAGCAGCCGCAAAGCCCGAGGCCGTCGGTAAGCCTCCAGGCCCCGCTCCTCCTTCCCCTCGCGTGCATGGTGCTGAACCGTTGATATGTGCGATGATATTTGTAGGGACGACCGGGGAGGCAGCTGCGGCGCCGGTGGAAGAGCTCGCGAAATCTCTGCAGGGGGTGCAGGGGGTGGAGGTGTTCGATCTGAGAGGAAAGGCGGTGCCCGCTGTTGATCTGTGGAAGGACAGGAATTTTTTATCGTGCTTTGTAAGATTGATTGTGTTTGAGACGATTGATGATGGTTGTTTGCATGTGTGTGCTGTGCCATAAGAGGGCCGATCTTCTTGTGGCTAAGCAGGATAGTTTAGTGGCCGATTCCTCTCTGCAAATTTCGAGGAACAAAGGAAATACATCAAATGCTTAAAGTGATGCATTCTTCTACTCTCTTTTTTTTTTCAATCTATCAGGTTCCATTTACAAAAACATAAAATGTTTTCATATTCAACCTTCGCAGCACCGCCGCCCTCGCAACAGCTCCGCACCGCCGCCGCAGCCATCGCCGGCCTCGCAGATCCGTGCCGCTGCCGCCAGTGGTCGTGAGGAAGAGAAGAACGAACAGGGAGGGAGAGAAGAACGAACAGAGTATGGGCTTGGCCCATATTACCTTGTGTCCTGACGTGGCGAGGGCTGACGTGGCAAAAACCACGGTAAAAACAGCCCGGGGGGTTAAGTGTCCGATATTGACAATTCAAGAGTGTATTATACCCGGTTTTGTAGTTCGGGGGTGTATTTTAAACAAGCATAAGAGTTCGAGGGTGTAAAATGGACTTTTCCCACTCGAATAAATAATAAGTTTTCAGTTTTGCTCTTCAGATCTACAAACCTAAACTTTTTATGCGTTTCTGGAAAATTAGATTGTTCATGCACAAAATGTTTCACGGCCACTTTAGCTATGGAAACGTTGTATTACAAGCAGAAGTTCTTTTTTAAGGCCCGTTTATTCGTATAAATATTTAGAAGCAAAGTACATGGGTGAGAGATTTCACTCCCTAGATGGTGGGTACATTTCACTCCTTCATAATTCACCAGCCATAGGCTGTAAACGTGTGCTTCGATCAGGATCTCATCTAAAACTCTGCTGTAAACGAGGTTGGAAGCCTTAAAAGAGAAAAATACCACCTATATATGTAATAAGAAAACCCCACTCTCAAAATTTTTGAACCGTGCACGAAGCAACCTATCATTTTACTCCACTTCTCCCATATGCATGTGAGCGAGCGCAAGGTCGCTTGGTTGCCTCCTCCACTGCCTGGCCTTGCCCGCATCAAAAGACATCACCAATGAGGCCCACTCAATCAACCTCTTCCCTCCTCCTCCTCCCCAAGCTAAAGGCGGCGAGTGTCCCACCCCACCATCTTCCCATATTGTTGGAGAAACACAGCCACCGTCCTTATATTATAACTAGTCAATTGCAATCCCTACTGTTACCGTTACATCATTAGCTCACCGCCGGTTACCAACCCCACAGCTTCGAAGGTGGCGCCGCCCGCCCGTTCTAACGCCTCCCATGACCAACTGGCCAACCCTCCTCTCCGCACCCTCCCACTCCGCTACCGATCGCCATGGTCATCAAAGCTAAAGGAAAAGGGTCATCAGCGCTGGAGGAGAGGACGTAGGCTCATCAGAGCACTAATAGTGAAACAGATCTTGAAGTTGAAAGTCTGTAAATTTTTTGGCTCAAAATGTATGTCAGATGTGATTTAGCAATTAAAAAAAAAGGTCTCATCCAGTTCCGTGAACGTTCAGAAAACGTTTTCACCACGAGAACCAGTTTGGGAGCGACGTATATATTCCTCATTCGCGAGTCGCAACAGCGCGATTGTTGGGCGCTGCACGCAAAGACCAAAAGCGGGCAGTATACACGCACGGTCCAGGCTAGTTCTACATCTACTACCGTTCCATCGCCTTCGCCACCGAACGATCCGTGGACGCGAGCGTGATCAGGTGGCCGAGACCACGTGCTCCTCCTCCTCCTCCATCTCGTGTATTGTGGCTCTCGTGCAGCGCGCGCCCCGAACAGTAGAAAGGGGCGGATCGATCGACTCACCAGCTGCCCCAGCTGGGCCTGATCCCTCTTCGTCCACTCGTTGCTGTCATCGCGTTGTGCCTTGACATCGTCACCATCCTCCTAACTTGGGGATTCCGATCTGCACCGGCCGCCCGGCATTTGGTGCTGTCCCGTCTTTCAGGACGGATCACAAATGCGATATGGTTTACTGTACGGTTTACTGTGACCTCTGTTTTGTGTACTAGTTTCCCTTTTTTTTTAAAGACTATGCACGTGAAGTGTAACCGTTTGATGGATGCTGTCAAATGTTTCCTTAAAAACATCAAAATGTCTCGGAACGTATTTCTTAAAAAAAAAAAGATATTTCCCATATGTATGTTTCTTTTTTTTTTGGGGTGGTACTAACGGCTATAAAAGAACTCTACTTGTGATGACAATGGAAGATCCCGTAGATCTCTAAAACCTGCTATTATTAACAATTGTTGTGAACTTTGCTAGCAGTGTTAAAGACTTTTAATTATTTGTCCATATAGATATTATTCATATGTTACTTAGCCCACTGGGTTACCCATACACGCGGGACATGGGTATATGTATTGGTTTCTGCCCGCTAGTGTTTTGGGGCATCAAGGATGTTGTTACCGTCCCCGTCACGGCCAAGGGCCGCGTCAGCCACTTTGTCGAGGCCCAGATCCCCAAGGATCTGCCATCGGTGAGGCTCGACAAGTAGTGACGACTTCCGCAAACTCAGGAGCGACGAATCTTGGGAGTTGCTTGCCCTACCACCACCGCACCATGCTAAGTCGCCAAGATAGAAGTTGATCGAGGTGGGAGAGGACGGGACCAATGATGAGCTTGACGATTGTGAGCTAATGCAGGCGAGCTCTTTTATTGTTGGTCTTTGACCCATCTTCTTCACCTTTTTCCGTGAATTTGTTTTTTTTAACGAACCGGTAAGCTGCCAATTTTATTAAATAGATAATTTTCTGTGAATTTGTGGTGGAAATGTGTGTTGCTATGGAACATTGTGATAGAGACATGTAATTTTTGTGTGTT